ATTCCCAATTTATAATTATATATCCTCAACATTCCCTGTACTTATAAATTGATATATTGTTAATTCAATAGTTTTATCAACGCGAACAAGTTCTTAAAGTTATTAAATTAAATCATTATCCTTTAGATACCTAAAACCTTGCTATACGTGTTGAAGTCTATTTTTCAGTCGGTAGACTTCATAATCAACTCGTATAACAACATAAAAAGAAAAGTAATTATATTTTAAAGTTGATTTCTTTATTTATTACTTAAAACTCGCAAAAGTTATAAAACTTACAAGAAAGTTAATTTACAACTTAAGCAAAAAATCTATTTATGTAAATTAATTTGCTCTAACTAACTAATTGCTATATTATAAATTAACTACAAATGTTAATATATAAGATATAACAAATATATAAAATATAATAAATATAAGTAAAATAATAAAAATAATAAAAATAAGTGATGATCGTTATAATAAAGTTGATTTCAGATGTTAACAATATAAAGTTTTTCAGATATATAATAATACAAAAAAAATCATAGAAAGAAAAAATGTTTAGATGATGAATTTGAAAACTTTCAGATTCATACTTTTTTCAATTTTATAAACTTTATACTTATTGCCAATATCTTTTTTATGCATATGCATCATAAACAAAAATAATTAGCTTTCTTTCCAGTTGAATCTATTAAATCATCTATTACTAAATTTTGCAATTCATTAATCATTGGTTCTATTACTTTTCATAATGTTTCATAATTCTCTATATCCAGATACAAAATAGTTATATAATAAAAATCAGCCTTATAAATATTCAATATATCATCTAAAATGATACAAGTAATCATTATATGTTTTACTTTTCTGCTTACATTTTCATTTCTCACCTAATGAATTACAGGATTATTTGGGTTGAGAATATTTTGATTTACAAGATCTGAAATAAGAAAAAGTAAAATGTCATGATACTAACAACTGAAAATTAGTATTAATGTAAGATTAACAAAGAAGTTTAGCTTTATGATTTATCAAATAAGTTTTTATGAAGAGCTCTGAAGGTTAATATGATCAAAAGTATAATTTGAAAATAGTGTATTTAATAAATATCTTGTTATTAAAAATATCACACGATATAACCTGGCCACTCTCTAATTAATTTCTATTTTTATACCAGTCAGAATTGTTTATTAGCTTCGAAATCTCGCGGTAACACGATAATGCAATCATGCATATAGGTAAAGTGGATTGTATCATTCATACATAAAGATAATGGAAACCCATCTTTCAAAATCTCAAAACGTTCGTACAAGTTTATTAGATTTAGTAACACTAGCAGGAGCAGAAAATAGCAAAAAACCTACTATTATCATTCCCGAATTCCTTTATTTAGGAGATGCAAAGACTGCTTGTTGGTTTCCACATTTTGTATCAAATAATATAACTCATGTTATCAACCTTTCTGGGTGTTCGAATTTTTGGGAAACAAAAGAAAATATATACAAGAATTTATCTAAATCCCATAATCAACACTCTTCTGATCAATCCGAAGAACTAAAATTTATAAATAAAGTTAAACAAGTTTTATTTCCGGAAAAAGATAATGTTCTATCGAATGGAAATGGTGAAATTATCGACAATATGAAATATATAGATAATAATGATTTTATTCCTCCCAAATATCTCAAAATAGATATCGCGGATGATCCATCATCCGATATATACAAACATTTTTGTGAGTGTATTGGTTTCATTGAAAATGCCAAGTCAACAAATGGTCACGTCTATATTCATTGTCAAGCAGGAATAAGTCGATCTGTAACGATTGTAATCGCTTATTTAATGAGTTCACAAAAAATTTCTTATAAACAAGCATTTGATTTAATTAAAGAAAAAAGACCAATTGCGAAGCCAAATCATGGATTTATAAAACAATTACGGGAATTTGAAAAGGAAGTCATTGATAAAGAGCATAGACATTTGTTTTAAACTTAAAATTTACAGGGGAGTTCAAATATATTTTTACACGTCATTGAATAAATTGCAATTACATTGTACGATAGCAAAAATAATACTAAGTAAAAATTTAGACTTTTACAAAATAATTTTTTAGTTTTTGTTTGTTTTTTTTTGAAATATACAGCAAAAGTAAATTATTTTTTTTTTTACTTATAATAATCTTTACAATGATCAAAAAAAAAATTTTTTTCTTGACCGCCAAAATTTCTAGTTAATACAGTGGCAAAAAACAATTCTAGTTAAGATTTTTAATCGAACGAATGTAAGGGAAAAAAAATTCGATTAAATCCTCCGGGTTAAGTAAGCTAACCCAGATTGCCCTGACCTCAGAAAAATTTCGTCAATACCAATCAATAGTAATATCTTAAGATTTGGGTGGATACATGAAAGAGAATCGCTTATCAAATAACGAAAATTGCTGTTGAGACTGTTGTTGCTCACGATTTTCGTTGATACTCTTACTTTTTGTTTCCTCGCCAAATTCTCCTTTTTTAATACGCAAAGAAGTTTTATTTTGTCCTACCCACGTATTCCTCTGATTTTTCAAATCTGATATTCCCGTTATTTTATTCCAACATTCAGAATCATCTGCATCATCAGATAATTCACCTTTCTCTTGATCCTGAACAGGATGTTTTCTTCCAAAAATGGATTCTCTAAATGATGAATTGATAGGTGAAGTAATAACATTATTTTGGTTCTGATTAGAAAAAGAGTTGGAAAGTGAAGAAAAAGGAGATGAGGAGAATATTGATAATGAAGAGGATGGAGATGAGGAAAGTGAAGATACACTATTTGGTGCAGAAATTGGAGGCGGCGGTGCAATCACATTTCGGCTACGATCATGAGATTGCTTAGAAGAATACATAGAATTTGATGTATTGGTGGTATGAGGCAATTGACGATGCATATTCTGAGGAGACGCTGGTGGAGTAAGCTGAATTGAAAGACCCGATACGAAAGGAGAATACCATTGGGAATTGATTGCGTTATTCATGGAAGCTGCAGGCACCGGTGTCATGATGTCATTTCCGTTGGATAATCTCGAGGTATTAGAACGAGAAAGACCATTAGTGATTGCAGATGGTCGATTTTGAGGGGAAATCACATCAGCATAAGTGGTATAACGCGATATAGGAACATTGGAAGAAGAAACAGATGGTGTCGTTAAGACATTTTGCTTCAAATGTACATCCGCCCGTGAGAAACCTGCAGATTTTCTATTTGATTCGGAGAGCGTTGCTTTTGCTGGAATCGCAGTACCATTCAGGGTTTCAGGATTATATATTTGGCCATTGCGCTTGTTAGATTGTAAGAAATACGCTGATTGATCAGAGCGCGATGGTTGATGAGATTCGGTATGTTGATGGGAATGTCTTTCCCAAATGTCATAATCCACTGCTTTAGGCTTTTCAACGACCTGACGAGACCTCGGTATCTCATTCGAATGATGCTAATTTGAGTAAATATTTTACTAAATATGTGATGGAAAAAAAAATTCATAATACATAATCTTTTCACTTACATGACGTGATTTAGACATCTCTGAGGAGGAAACATCTTGTTTTTGCGATATCGGTTGTTCCTGCTTTAAGGAACGTTGATCTGAAATTTGTGTTTGTTGATTTTGCTGTGTTTTTAATTGATTATTCTTAGATCCTCTCCTTCTCCTGCGTCTTCTATTTCCAGTTTTAACGAAGGTTTCTTCTTGAGTGGAACATTGCACATGTTTCTGTACGATAGGTCCTGTCTGTTGAATCAAGCTTTGTTCAGAATGATCATCTGAAATAATACTATCAATTTCTCCATCGCTTTCTTGATCTTTATTACGAATATTATGTTTTCGATATCCTTTCATAGGTGAATTAGAATTCTTTTGTTGTAACTTAGGAGACCCATTATTTGTAGATGGTAAAGACGACTCTGAAAATTTAATATCTGCGGTTAGACGTCTACTTTTATAATCTCTATTTGAAATTGCCGTTGGAGTGCTTTGTGATTCAGTCCAAGAACTAATATTATCGTCTTGAATAAAACCTTGATCCGTTTCTAATTTTTCAATTTTATGTTCAATTTTATCACTAGAATTTGGATCAAGAGCATTATTATCGATTTTGTCTTTATTCTCTTGACAAGCGTCAACAGAAGATGGAACAGTACGTGAATTTAATGTATCAGCAACATTTATCGTCACACTAGTTTTTATCTCATCTTGTTCTGTTATCGTTGAAGATTGTTCACTATGTGAATCAATACTAGAAACCGTAGAAGACATATCATCCTCTATCGGCGAAAGTGAACTTGCAGGTATATTAGTCGGCTGAGATTTTTGGCGCGAACTAGGACGCCTTGATGTTTTTTTATATAATCCAGGTGATGCATTATGTGTTGGTAGTACAGATGGTGATAAAGATGTTGAGGACGAAGATGACATGTCATGTAATAGACGAACATCCTTTTCATCCGTCGCACTTAATATCCCCTTTTTAAAGTCGCCAACCATGGGTCCAGCCATGTGCAATCTAAATTTTTCGGTCAGCTGCAAACTAATCCATCTAGGCTTAAATAATAAAATTATTTCAAAGGAATTTTGTTAGATATAAATTTCAAAAGATTATAAAATAATAGACCAGTTCTCATTTTTTACTTAAAAATATATATATATATATATGAAAAACTATTTACTTAAATGATCCTTAATGATAAAAACCAGATCAGACCAAATCGATCGAAATAATATAAAAAAAATAAACTCGAGCCTGTATGTAATTGTAAATGAAGAATAATAACAACATACCTTAAATACAAATGCTAATACGAAGAAAATTACCACAGTGATCAACATGCAGGCGAACAACGAGGTAGGTAAAAACTTCTTGATTATTTCAAAAAGTTCATACACAGATCGTTCCGAACTGGAAGGAGTCAGCAATCGACTTGACGCAATATGTGGTATTGAATTGTGTTTTGAAGATACCATTGTGTTATTTGTTGAATCAGACATGTACTGAACTAATATAGCTTTGAGAATAAAAAGAATAAGTTGAGCCGTTTTTTCAAATATAAACAAAATTTGGTGAAGTAGTGTTTGGCTAGATAACGAAGGAAAAAAAAAAGCAACTATGCTAGACACCAAAGAAAGGACAAAAGGGAAGCATACAAAATAAGTCGCATAAGCGATTTCTCTTGAATTCATTAATTGAAAATAAGAAAGCTCAAGACTTTTTTGGAAACCTGAAACGCAAGCAGGGGGTTTCGGCGTTACTGATTTGAAGATTATCCCTTACTCAAGGAGGTAAACAAAGACAAGATAAAGCAAAAAAAATAAACAAAAGCGAAAAGACCTACATAAAAGCCGGCCTAAAAATACATAAAGCCGGGACGAGACAAGTATGATGCAAAAAAAAATCCGCTGTAGATTCAGTTTGGTTATTTAATTTATTACCAAAGTAGATGCACGAGATTAATGTGATTTAATAAAGAATAAAAATATATATGGTTATATCAGTAACATTTTTATCATCTGATGGACGGATCGGAAGGTCGATCGGAGTTTCTTTCAATTTACTTTCCTCCTTTATATCGATGACGTGGCAGTATTTCATTATTTCATTTAACTTGATGTATGTATCGACGTTGCTTAAAACTTAAATGTGTATGATATGAATAAAATCAGATGCATATATTTAAATTTATTGACATTCATAATTATTAAGCATACATCAAAAATCCGTTTTTGGGACATTACAAATAAGCCTCTATAAATTCATTATGTGAACAAAGCATTCATGTGATATAATACAGTTGAAATCTAATTTTTTGATTATTCCAAAAAAGATTTGAGTAACTTTAAAAATGGCTAATATTTACAAAATCTTGTTTAATATTTTTTAACAAATTATTAAAATTCATTGATATGCACATAATATAAATAAAGTTATATAAATATTTGTAATTGCTAAAAACTTTATTTATTATTATTATTATTTTTTTTTTTAGATAATTCATATTTTTTTAATTATATGGATTCTTTGTTTAATACATATTATATTTTATATTATATTATTTTTTCAATAAATTTTAAAGGAGTTTGCTATTTATCACCGCGATGATCATCACCGGTGTTACTCAACAATAGTAATTGAAGTTTTTATTGCCACGTGAACGGTGACATTTAAGAGGGAGTGAAATAACAGACACGGGTGACAAATAACACATGCAATATAAACATGTAAACACGTGATACCGGTGACCGCCGGTAATACGACATAAATTTTTCGCAACTTCAAATTGTACAAATTTAAAAAATTATAAAATTATAAAATATAATAAATAATAAAGATATAATTTGATTATATAATTTTTAAAAAAATTTATTAAATTATGAAGTCTACTAACTAAATAGATTTCAACATATATGGGAGGCAGTCAGTAAAAAAGGAGAAAATCCAAAATTTTTGTTAATTTTAATTATTAAGCTAATTTTATGCATATAACCAAGATCAGCCAACTGGTCCAATAATATAAATTTTGATTAAAATTTGAATTTTCTCCTTTTCTACAGACTACCTCTTATATAATAAGGTTATAGGTATTTAAAAGTTAATGATTAGACTTAATAATTCTAAAAACTTATTCACAAATAAAACTAATAAAATTATTTATATATTAATTTACTATAATGTATTTTATATAATACCTAAAGTATTTTATATACTACTAGAAATTGTAGGCTACATACTAGAGATTACTGTGATTAAAGAAAGTATTATATACAGAGGGTAGCTAAAAGTCTTCGAACACTATGTTTGACATCGTATATCTCAAGATGCACTAATCAGATTTAATTCAAAATTTCATATATTATTGATATAATCTCAAACAATAATATATTAAAATTTCATTTAATTTGAATCGGTAGAAGCTGAGATATGTATGTAAACGTAAATACATAAATATTTTAGATTTTAGATTTTAGTTAAAGTTTTTGAAATATATTTTCTAAATATCTAATGATTCAA